TTTGGTATTTTGAGAGGCATCATTGATGGATTCCCTGAGGTATCAATGAACAAGCATGTTATTCCCTAAGGGCTCTGAAGTTTATGTTTGTACTGAAATTTGTCCTGTGAAGAGAGAAGAGGAAAAACCAATATACCATTTTAAAATCTTCAGAAAACTTCTGCCTGTCTAACCACAACTTACCTGAAAGTGGGGCCACTGTAGGTGTAATTAACAGTTTCATTTGGAGATTTCTTGAGGCATGTGGAAGGCAATACCATTGGCCTTCCTGTATCTCATTCATGATGTTCATTTGTTCAGATGTAGTAAAATGCTACATCCAAGAAGCAAGACAAATTGTACAAAAAAATCCTTGTTCCATTTTTTCATGTCAGATAAAAGCATTGATAAGAAAACATACCATTCAAGGATGTGAGCTGAAGCTAGAAAGTCAGACACCATTGAATATAACAGAAACTTGACATTCTACAATTTTCTACTGGCACATCAAAGTAATTGCATTACTGGGCTGTCAGCATAAATAAACTGCTTATACAACAGGCATACTTTCAGTTTAACATTTGTAAGTAGTCTCTTTCGTGCAAAGAAGGAGCAAAAGATCCATCAATGCCATGCCCAGTAATGGTTCATGACAACAAACAACAAATAACCCTTGAAATAAAATATGGCAGCATGACTCTTTCATGTGAAGAATGCAAAGAAATATTGTACAGGAGCTGATACCATGTGGATTGGGGTGCATTTATACACTTCTTGCACCCTCATCCATTTTCCTCTGTATCAATCCCTGTACACACAATATTAGGGCTGGCTTGGAGTATTTAGTGCAATGCATCAGCTGGGAAAGAGATTAGAAGGCTTTTGCAGGATTTGTGAAAATGCACCTTGAGCTAAGGAGAGTAGTTCATTTTGGAAATGGCCCATCTCTTGAGTAGACCATAGTGTCAGACATGTAAAGTCATCCATTAGTACAATCTTGCATTGCATTGCAATACTTCAAAACTCAGCAAAAAAAGAATTAATCCTAAGATTGCTGATCTGCAAGCTGCAGGAGTACCACATCATGGTCAGGAACCAGGAATCTCTTTAATTCCTAAGACTAATTATTGAAAGGCCATCATGACATATATGTTAATTACAATTTGCAGCTTGCAATCATGACATAATCTTTTAGGATATGGGTTGCCTGAAAGAGTCTTCATGACAATATTGAAGGTTGAAGCTATTTCCTTTCAGTGTAGTACTGAACTCCATGGGTGTAATTATGCACCACACTATAATGCATCCAGTTATAGAGAACAAATGTCAATTTTCTGCAAATGTACCAGGAAGTGGAAGGGGGAATTCAGCAGGATGAATTGGTACATGCCTTTTCCTGCTCATGACAATATAAGAATGTTTTCATAGCAAGCATGAGAAAGATTGCTTTACTTTTGCCATTGTGAATAAAATAGATCCTAGTGGTCTGTCCCCAGTCATGGCTTAATAGATTCAGGAATGTTGAAAGTGCAAATGTTTGGTTCTGTGGCAGTCTCCTGAGAACATTTTCTTATGAATGCAAATGAGTGACCATTGGACATTGAGTGAACACTCCCGAGATGTTCAAGTCAGTGAAGAGGCAACTTCTGCTAGTGTCCCTAAAAAGTGTCACCCTGGACAGAAGACATTGTTAGAGTTAGATGCATATATTGTCAAGGACAACCAAAACTTTCAAGTATCTGTGTTTGACCAAGTGACCATGACCATTTAGTGTAGAATTTATTGTATGCCTGCACAAGGGAAACATGATTTGTCCCAAAGCTTTGTCATACTTCAGCAGAATGGTATTCAGGTAATTTATTGACATGATGAAAAAGATGCCAATGCAGTTTTCAGCCAATTTTGTCTCGTCATCAGAGGAACCACCATTCAGTTCCCCTGAAAAGATTTTGCCATTCTCAGAATTCCTCCATTCTGTTGTTATATGACTCAGTTTCCCAGATGGAAAGATAAAGAACAGTTATAATTCAGGCAGTCTTTTTTGGGAGAAGCCTATAACATTTTGGTCAAAACACCCTAAAAATCCCTGCTGGAAAAGCATAATGACATAATGGAATTTCCAAAAATATGATCTAACATCTATGAATCTATTAAGCCATGATTAGGCATCAGAGTTGTACATCAGGTGGTCCACATGTTGGTTTATAAATATTGGGTCAGCAAAAAAATTTACCTAGGATATTTGCTGTGGTTGGATAAATTTTAAAAACCACAATCCCATTTCTGAGTTCTGGCATCAGATTATTTGCAGAAAATGTTGCAATTTTTTGTTATAACTGAAATTATGATTCATAGCATAGGTGAAGTTTGAGTGAGTGAAACCACTCTAGGCAATTGTGAGTTGAGACCTGAAAGTGCAGGATGGTGATACTCTATACCACATAGTATTAGGAGCCATGGATAGACTTTCACTGCTGCTAAAGGTACAAGATGGTGATATTCTCTGCATGACACAGGGTGCCATGGGTATGGTGCCACTGCTGTGGTGAATGGCTATTGCTTTTGTACTGCCTGTCTCTCAAGTCAAGAAAGATGATGCTGCAACTGCAATCAGGTTACTCTGGGCTGAAGCAATGCAGTGTTGCCTTAATGTAACAAACTAAACAGCTTCTTGCAAGCAAACTTTGCACTAAGTGAAAAAACGGCAATAATGACCAAAATCATTATGACAATTTCCTAAAGGCTCTGAATGAAAGAGGTTGAAGAACATTTTGGCCAGCAATTTGGAAAATATACTGTATATGGTGATAAAATGTCCATCCTTTATTCACTGTCCATATGGAACTTGTGATGGTGAAAATTTGTCTGCTATTATTGATAATATCCAACATCCTCCCTGCAGGATATAGTTTCCAGCTGGGATGGACATATTTACTTTTCTATCAGAAAACTGCTGGGGAAAAAAAAATTATTTACATCAAAAGGCTCAATATTAGGATATAGTTAAAGGTAGAACGTTTGCAATATAATTATTTCATTCAGAAAAAAAACATGACTAAAAATTATCACACAGAAGCATGAGATTCCATTTGTTAAGGTGGTAGATGCTAATAATTTAAGTATTCCACTTTCATGTAAAGGTGGGTATTCATGTTATACACACATTTCCTGAAAGCCATTGATTGGTCTGATTACAGTAGTGTGTGATATGGCTAAAGGAAATAGTGAAATGATGTTGGGGAGAGGGGGAGAGAGAAAGAGAGGCAGCATGCTCAGTTTTTCCTTATACTTTCAACATTTTTAGTGAAACAATTCTGGATTGATTCCAGCAGAATCCTCCTCTCTCAAAGCATCCAGACAGTAAGAGGCACTGCTATATCTACAGGCTTAGGTGTTTCTTTCTACATACAATGAAGGCAAACGTTTTTATGTTTCCACAAAAAATTCCCATTCAGGCCTTCCATGACTAGCATGACCAAAGCTGGCAAATCCATGGCAGATCAGATGTGACACACTGAGCATGGTTGTGACAGCATTACAGTGGTACTTTCCCCAAATGAGAGATTAAGGGGTACTCCCTCAAAGGTAGCCTACATGCAGCACACTGCAGTAGCTTGACTGTTTTTTTTCTTCTTTTTTTTTTGTCAGTTCATTATGCTGCTGTACCAAGGGTGTGCAGTATAAATGATCCATGGTGTCTTTTGCTGAGAAGCAACTGAAACTTGCAAGTGTATGAGAGCTTAAGAGCCACAGTATTTTTCTTGCCATTTCCTTCCTATCATTGACCTTGGATACAAGATTGGCAAAGTAAAAATTATGTTAAAATTTAATTATTACTAATGAGTCATATTTTAATGGGTACATTGTGTTTTTCCAGGAAAGAACCTCAACAAACTGAGGTTGATTGAGCTAGGCTGAGTGATAGAAAAATATGAGGGTATCACCCTACTTTAGAAAGATCAGAATTCAACATTATCTGCAATTAATGTTAATACAAGTTTCTGCTATATGCACATATTGCTTAGAACTTGCAGTAGTACTTGAGATATTTCTCTAGTATCATGGTGAGTTCAAGGTACCATGTACTTATACAGAATGCTGAATTGAGTAGCCCACTAGAGCTATATTTTTTTCTAAATCATTTTTTTATTTTAATATTTTTAATATTACATTTCATAATTTTAATTTCCAGGCAATTGTACTCAGCATCTTCTTGTACCAAGAAGCAAAAGGGTTTCCTTCAGTTACAAAATGTGAGCTGCAATAGAAGAAACTAATAATAGGACTTCCTCTCAAATTTGCAAATGAAAATCCCCTGAACATGACTGAAGACACAAATATTTAGCCAAACACTGAAATGAAAGACATAGCCTAATCCAATAAATATCAATTGACTTCTGTTACCAAGAAAATTCTTAAAGGAGGAGAGTAAAAATTTTGTGTTGTTTCATATCATAAAAGCAAATTCAGCTGCTCTGAAAGAGAGGATGATGGAAAATAGCTCTGAAGTAAGCACTTCTCTACTCACTGTAGGCTACTTTACAATATATGCTTTATCAAAATAAATGCCTTTGAAATCACTTCATTCGTACTTTTTATCCCATAGTTGTGATGGCTTCTCAGCTTCTCCAAGACATGATTCCAAGAATTTATTGAGTGACATGAGGTAGAAGTCAATAAAAATTACTAGCATTAAGTATGATTGTAAAATAGTTCCTCAAGTTCATGATGAAAAATGAAAATTAAATAATTGTATCATAAGGAATACTAGTGGGCAGTTTTCCAGAACCTCCCTTGAGTACCAGCATCCCTTCACAAACTAGAATGATTCTCTTAGAAGTGTATGAATATAAGTACCATATTTGTGAACCTTTTTTTGACAAAATCATTCCCAAAGTATGGAAATCAGCTTTTATCCCCAACAACCTTGTTGGCCATGCAATAAATTTCAAAACAGATTTTAGTTCATCATTATCTACCTTCTCATATTTTTGAATGAGGAACTCTCATTAAGAAACAAAAAACATTATTATCTCTTATGAAGGGAGAATAGAAACCATATGGAGGGCATTCCTTAGCACCATGGATGAAAAATGTAGAGGTCATTGATGTCCACCACAGCTTGGAACAGGATATAGACATGATAAAAAAAAAGATGAGGATGCTGGAGAAAAGATGATGTAGATGGTACACTACAAGAGGAGGCATCTGTTTTTGGTATTCTTGTGGCTTGGTCGATGTGGGACACGTTCTGCTGCTTGAAATTTTCTAATGATGCGAACCAATTCATGAAATGCTTGGTCCACATTGATTCTGTGTTTGGCACTGCACTCCACATATGGCACCTTTAATTGGGCTGCCATTTGTCTTGCTTCATCTGGAGATACCTTTGGACACAAAACAGCAGTTGCTGATGAGGTTCTACATCCTTAAAAACTTCAAAAATAAGCATCAGGATATACCTAGGTGAATTTGAAATATAAAATTTTGCTTTAAACTCAACTGAACCTTTTAGGAAAATTTTGGCTTCAGAGTGTTGTGAGACACTCCGAAAAGAAAGTGACAAGCAAATCCCAAAATAACCAATCCCAGGTCTCCCTGGCTCTAATCTCAAATTCAAATATGAAAAGTAAATGGTATTGGTAATGGTAAATGGTGAATTATGAGTCACAGGGAGAATCTTGAAAAATATTCAGCCTCTAAAAATTAAAAAATAGAAAGATTCTAAATCCAAGTCAGATCTGAAATCTTTCATGTGAAAGCTGAATTGAATATAGATTTAAATGATAAAAGATTGTTTGAAAAGTAATTTGAACTTGAATCTCCTGGGAAATGAGAACCACTGGAATCATGAACTTTTCTAAATGGTATTTGTCAGATTTGAATCATTTCTTGACCTGAGATTCATCTGGACAATTATAATACATCTTATAATAATCAATTAGTAAATATGTATAGAGAATACTATTAATATGATATGGTTACAGTCACTACAAAACATTGTGAAATAACAAAACCATGCAAGGCAATGAATTATGCATCTGGCTTTTACCTGGTGAAATGTGATCATACATTTAAAAGTAGAGTTTGTTCATGTGAAGAACAGCCACCCTATGTTCACTAATGCATTGTCATTACTCATATTTCTCAATGATGCTTTATGTGTGGATTGCTAATCCCTTGGGTCTCAGTTACTATGTGAATGGAAACACTCTAAAATCCCAGATTTTTTTCTTTTGAAATATTATTATAGTGAAATGTCTAATGTACAAAAAGGTTCCTCATAAAGCCTGGCCTATTGACTATTCCACTATAATTTGAACTTCAACTAGTTCACCCTGCTTGAAGGGTCTTCTGAAACTGACTGGAATTGCAGTGCTTATAGAATGAATTCACCCCCCCTGCAGTGGGTGGTGGTGCTGCTGGCTGTGAGAAGAGTGACATCTGTTTTTCATCCCATAAACAGCTAAACTATCCACATTTGCAATTCCAGCAAGGTACCCAACTACCATAGACCAGAATGATATCTTGAAGGAGCTTCGCAAACTTGACATAATACAGCTGATCAGAACAAGCAGGAACCAACATTCCTTTAAAAAGTTCAAGTGAAGTGAACCTTGAGGAATGTCAGAGCACCTAAGTAAAAACGATAGTCACCTTGTCATTGACACAATCACAAAATCAGTCCTATATATAATTCTGAAGCATTTTTATTTTTACTTTATAATTGTAACCTGACACACCTGGAAAAAATTCACATTTCTCAATATTCCGGAAACCCAAAGATGAGTTATACAAAATTTTAATTGTTAACTTTCTGAATCCTTCTCCCTTGCCTTGGTTTTCACTGAAGCTTTCCTTCTCCTTTCCCTTCTAGGAAAAAACCTCATATGGCAGGCAAACAAATAAGAAATGGGCTAGAATCCAGTTGATGCCTAAGTTAATTAATAAAATTGATAAATTGCAGGGGGTAAATATTCGAGACCAACCGATATGTCGGTCTATCTCTTTTAATAAATTATGTGGCGTAAAGAACGGCCTTTATGGATTCGGAGTGTTTCTCTTGCCCAACGAGTTCCGAATGCAAATTTCATGGATATATCTCCACTTCTTGGTGTCATTTTTTTTGTTGGAGATCAGATGCCATCGGGTGAGCATAAGCCCCGAGAACGAAACATTTTAATAGCTTCAGTAGGCGAAATTAGAAATATCGTGGTCGAACAAGGGAGGGTCTTCAGGACATGTTTAGGCCTACGCTCACGCTACGTTTTAGCCTACCTTTTAGATCCTGGATAAATGGGAGGGTTAACGTAAGGCAGCAGGTCAAAAATTATAAACGAGGGCTGCTCATTTAATTCGCAGACAGGGTCGAGCAAGGGCAGGAGTCCCCTCCCCGTGTCCGCGAATTAAATGAACATTCCTCGTACTTTCGGACGATCATCAGCGAAACCTAACCCTTAGGGCGAATGTCTATCGTTTTAGCCGTTGAAGTTCCCGTAGCCTTGAATACGCCTAACTTCTCTGTACGAGAATAAAAACGGAAGCAGAGCGAAAGACTTGTAGTTCCTCGCCTCTCGATGCCATATTGGCCAGAACACTCATAAGAGAGATCGACTGATATATCGGTCGATCTCTAGTAAATATGTCTAAAAAAAAAATATATACACACTTGAATCAAGAGTATATATTAAATAATTCAGAGTGGGGCGATGTTTAATGTGACATGTACAGTACTTAACAGATTACAATGTGTAGTGGAATGATTGTGTGTCATCAGGCAATCTTTTCCCACTAGACAGTGTGTCACGCCAGATGACACAAGCTCACTTGACCTTAGAGCAATGTAAGTTGATTTTGAAGTGATTCTAGAAATCTGAGAACACATGTGAAGTGCAAAGAAGGTGGAGAAATGAATTTGCAACTATGCCACCATGATGTACTAGAACTTTCAAGGATTCATGATAAGTCTGATGCTGATGGTACAGTGCATGGTCTCCCAGAACATTGCTAGTAAGGTAATGCGCAAACAATGTTCTGATAGACCTCACCAACAGTCAACTGTCAACAGTGGCTGGATGCTAACAGTGAACATCTGTGGTAGTGAACCATGCAATTCAAACCCTTGCTTCTCCACACACTGAACATTATACCTCTTTGAATTACTTAACATATATTTTTATTATTATTAAAGTGTGTATACATTTTTTTTGAGACATCATGTATTTAGCTCATGTGGGCAGGGTTGCTGCATCAGAATCTCTTTCCTGAAAAAAAATTACAGATTCCAAGTATATACAATAAACATTCTGCTCCTCCATAGACAGCTGTATTCACCATGGATTGCCTGGCAACTGGCACAGTGAAACGCTTACTTCCTGGGGATGAGAATCTTCTCAGTGATATAAACTATGAGTCAAAGGGGTAGGTCAAAGTAAATTGGGTGTTATTTTCCTGAACAAACTCTACAAAGTCTCCTGAAGCTACTTGTGTTAGACAGAATGCAGTTATGAGCTTGGTACTATACCCTATTGTATCATACAAGGAATTAAAAAAAATTTTTTTTCAATCAAACCTAACTCTGTAACCACTCTACTTGCATGACTATGAAAGCAAAAACACATATACAGAATAAAAATTCAGTGTATTACAAATTCCCCAAAAAATTTCCCCACAATTTTTTATGCAAGCCAGGTTTCTGAAAGCAAAATGAATATTTTTGTGTAATTTTTTCTATCTCTAGTAAGAGTGAACTGTAGTCACTAGAAAGGGTGACCATCATTCTTTGAGTTTTTAATGAGAGAAATTTTCATAAAAATTACTAAATAGTACATGCAAAAAGAAAAAAAAACATAAAAAAAGGAGTCAGGGAAGAGATCCAAGGTTCCATCTTATGTGAATAAGGGGAAAAGCAAAGGAATGAGTCCAAAGTTGGAATCTGCTTTCTTAACACGTTGGCGACAATGCGTCCTGATGCCAGGATGCATATTTTTTTTCAATGAATACCCTCTGGAACTGTTGAGAATGTTCCAGAAGATTATGATTTCATATAATGACTATTTTTAAGGTTTTTTAAGTTGTAAAATTTAAAACTTGGCAAAAAAAAATGTTTTCTGGGACCATGCGTCCTGATGGCAGGATGCATTTTTTGACAAAAAAAATGTGTGTGGTCCCACGCGGCGGACAAGCAAAAATAGGCTGGTCGTCAACGTGTTAACTTTTTAAAATTTTCATCTCTTTCAACTCTTCACATTAATTGGTAGAGATAGCAATATCTGAATTTTCCTAAAGTGCTAAGGAAATATAATAGAAATTTTCATTACAAGCTCTGAGGGTACAATCACCTCTTATTTTTTGAGGCTGAGAACATATCTGAGTCATCACAATTTAAAGTGATGTGAGAGTATTCCACTATATCTGATCTCTTATGATTCCATAACATTGTTCAAGTCCATCTCATCTTCATATCACATGTCCTAGACTTTTTTAATAAGCTTATAATCATTATTATTACTTTCCAGTAGTTTTTGGTCAGTTTCAGCCATTACACCTCATAGAGCCTGATCTTGTCCTCCATTGTTACTGAGGGATTGAAAATAAGATGATACAATGAGGATGTTTGTCACCTATCCTTTCTTGGGTGGAAAATTTCAGTCTAATCATGGCTCAGTTGAGTCATTACACAGAAATGTCAACTAAAACTTTAAAATAAAAAACTCCATAACATTTAGTTCACACTCAGCTAGACTGATTAGAATCTGTTATTTATACAACCATATGACTTCATTCGCATTATCGAATGAGGGAAATTTTAATGTTAATCATTACTGTTTCTTTTTGCTGACATCTCTAATGTGTTATTGCTTAAAGCCAATTGAGGTGAAAACAAATGCTTAGTGGCAACCTATGTGATGGTAAATGAGGAGTAAGGTGGTGAAGGTCTCTCATTCATAATTTTCAGTAAGTTCTTGAGGAAAAAGATGTCAGTAAATAGCTGCCTCTCCTTTCCATATCACAAGATGTCTTCTTTCTCTTTGGGTCTCATTGATCCATATGTAGTGATGCTACCTTGTCATGATCTTGTGCTCTAGCTATGTTTCTAACTTGCTTAGTTAATCAAAAAACAAATTATGAAAATTCCTGTTCTTCATCATTTCAATCAACAGTCATGCAAAGAGCAGGTGTCTTCCAAACAACTGCATCAGCTTTTTGTACCTATACTCTTTAATAAAAAATGTAATTTGCAGATGTACAGATGAGCCTGTTCAAGATTACTATGCCAGTAATATAACAATCCAAATATACCTAGATTGGAATAATATCAATTCTTAAAGCTGTCTAAAATAAATTGACTTAATTGTTTTGTTATGATGCTTGATATGGGGCTTTGAGAAGAATAAGCAATCTGGCAGGAAGCATAGAGAACCCTTCTATAAATTTTAAGTAAATGCTTAACAACATAGGCAAGAAGTCATTTCATTGGATCTTTCCCACATCAGGAGTTATGAGAATAACAATGAAAGTACCCAGTGAAGTCAATGCAGGGCTATATGCTAGTGATGTATGACTTCTCCTCTTCAAAGGTTTATATTGAGATTTTAACTCATTTCAAGAATTGCTGATACTTCTGGTCATATATCTAACTTCAATGTTTATAAATGAGACTTTTGAGAATGCTTTTTGAATTTGAAATTTTAAAAAGTTGCTGTTTTGAATACTCTCTCCACATAAAGCACCTTCATGTGCTTCAGTAGAAAGGCATCAACATAATGAAGAACTTCCACTCACTGTGCGCTGATGATCCAGATCAGCCTTGTTCCCAACAACAAGCATAGGGAACTCATCTCTATCTTTGACACGGAGGATCTGTCTATGAAAACGGTAGATTTCATCAAAGGAATTTCTGTCAGTGACAGAGAAGATGAGGAGGAAGCCTTCCCCTGACCGCATGTACTGCTCTCTCATAGCACTGAATTCCTCTTGTCCTGCAGTGTCCAGAACTGTGAACATGAGAGACAATTAGGCCAACCATTAATTGAAAACTCCAGTACAGTATCAGTTTCTGACAAAAGAAGTACTGAAATATCAGCTTCCTTGAAAGCCATATGGAAATGACTTTAAGATTATGGTATAGGTCCAACCATGAGTGTTTCCTACAGATGCATCATCAAGAAAACTCATGATATTGATGATTGTACAAGCCTTTTTGTTTCTTGATTCTCTTGCAATCAATGACTGAAAATTCTGATCACACCAGACAGATGATTTTTCATTTCAGGGCCTATACCATATTCAGCTGGTGGAGATAAGCCTATGGCATACTCACTATAATGTACGCCTACTCTCTCTGGAGAAAAGGACCCTTCCCACCATATGAAGTCCTTCTCTAGATTGAGTGTAAGGTTGCCATAAAGCTAACTCATTTTGCCTTATGTTCTAAAGTCAAATAAAAACTAGGGTACAAATTTTTATTTTGCCATTAAGACACATCTAAAGGTTTTTCATCAGATTATTAGTACTGTATTTATTTATAGAATCATAGAACTTGGGCCCATAGGCTTAAATTTGGTTGCCAGACATCCCTCTTTAACTGGGACAGTTCTGGAATTTCAGCTTTTGTGTCCCCATTAGGGAATAGATAATCCTGTTTTTCACAAAAAGGAGCCAGTATTTTTCCTGCTTGAACAAACACTGATTTTTTTTTTGGCTCAATTATATTATACTGCCACCTCGTGTTTATTCCAGCCACCAATTTTTTGTTCAACAGCACTTGAGAGAAATGCATTAATTACACAAGTGGAATGAATTTTACGCTTGTATTTAAATGACATTGATAGTGTTTCTGCATAAATTTCACATAAAAAATTTTTTCCCATACGACTAACTTTTCAACTTGGGAATGAAGTTCTGAGAGATACAATCATGCATCAGTGCCATCCTACATGTTACTTTTTACACCAACACTCTAACATTACCACTATTTTCAGTTCCATCAATTTCCACTTGACTGAAAGAAGTGTAACAATTAAATCCAGCTTCCATAACTTTTGTTTTTATTGCTATCATATTGAAAAAATAAATGCCACCAACTGGGAAAACTCTTTGCTGTATGTGGAGTCAAGAGCATTCTCTCCAAGGTGGCCCATACAAAATGAAATGAGAACAGCTAGGTTTGCAAGATCTAATATTGTTTACCACAAAGGATTTTTTTTTAAAGAATAAAATTGACATAGTGGTATTCATCAATAGGATGTCCTTTCTCTCTTTCTTTTTATTTGTACTATCACAGCCTAGTGGTACTGGCACCATTCTCGTTATCTGAAAGTTTACTCATAGGTGCTCAACTTCTGGAAATCCTTTCTGCAGGCTTCATATGCCTGTGACAACATGAAAAGAAATGCTTCATTATAATATGTATAAGAATTACCCAATAGGGTTAACTTTCTTTTTTTTTTTTTGCAACCTCCAGTCTTCAGCACTTCAGAAAATGTGCTAACAGCAAAAGGTGAAACCATCCACCTCAAGATGCAAAAACTTAGAAAATTAGCTGAATTGCAAATGAGACTTTGGTCATTTCTGTTTGCATTGCCCTGGGGTATAATTCTCATGGAAAGTATATGTCTACATTATAATGCTTTGGTTATTCATACAAATTGATTGACAAATCACAGGATTAAAAAATTGTAGGCTGTGCCAGAAAAGAATAAAATGGGATTGTGAATTAGATGGATAAGTTCCATCACATTTCCATGCTCTCTCTGATGTAGCCAATCATTACAACTGCACCTGAAATTCATAATTCACAGCAGAAAATGTATTAACCATGCTCTGGAAGAAGGAAAGGAGAATTCTTGCATCTTGCAACAGCAAGCTGGCCAACAATTTCCAGAGCAAAACAATATGCATATGCATTCAAGGGTGTCCCTTGCTGGTGCACCAGCAACTCCCTTACTGAAGTTTATGAAGCAACTGCATTGATACCATGATATACTGATGAAATATTATCACTTCTAACATAAAACCAACACTTCCGTGGGGAAAATCCCTCACCTCCTAGCAAGGATTGTGAAAGTTACATGCAAAACGTTAAAGGGGTATCTCACAAATATATCTGCAAGTCACTACAAGCAGTTTTTCATTTTTGAAAAAGTATACAGGATACTGGGGATGTACCAACCAATTCTCCAGTCTCCACACTTGCAGGCTGAGCAACTGCCTGCAAGTGGTCATATTGGAAAGGTAAAATGTTTATTTTGTATCCTATTTTTTTAACAGTTCAAAATGTTGGGGCGAGAGTTTAGTTCAGAGCGAGGTGGTGTTGGCTGACCAACGGAAAACGTAAGGGAAGGTAGGGTAATCATAAAGAGCTTTCAACTTACTGTCGAGTTTGGCAACCTGGTCATCAATGACGCACTGCTTTGTGTAGGAGTCCTCAATGGTGGGGTCATAGTCAGTCACAAAATAGCTCTGGGATGGAAGACATATTGCAGTCATTCATATTTTCGGACAAAGATTAATTCAACAGGTGGCACTATATGTTTGCATTTTCTAATGGGCCTATTGCACCTTCATCCTTTTAAACCCAAGGAGCTTCGCTTACCTGAATAAACTGTAGAGTGATGGCGGATTTCCCTACACCACCTGCACCAACAACGACCAGCTTGTACGTCTGTGCGTAACTACCACGATCATTGTACTTGGCCATGTCTTCGTTTCTGGACGAAGAATATTTATGCACACCGTTCCTCATGCTCCCAGGTGGGCAATCGGAATTCAGCAAGCAGACACCACTACCACGAAGGTCTCGGCAAACACCCACCCAAGCGCACACTCACTCACACCGTCCCGCCTGTAAACAGAGGGTGAGCGTAAGCTGGGAAAGAAAGGCTATGGCGAGGCCGAGGGGGTGAATGCGAGCAGGTGCAACGCAAGGGCTCATGAGAGTGAGAGTGAGTGAGAGCGAGTGAAGGCTCCCTCACGAGCACAGTGGGATGAGCAGTGGGGAGAAGGCCCTTCCCTAGAACTCCTTTTTGTACATAGGGTGACACCCACCTTCTTCACATCTGGCCGGCACACGCCCTTTCTCCTCTCCCGCGGGTTCACAGACATGTGTCCAGCAAGAATTTTCAGCTTGGCACCGCCGTGTCGCAATGTAGTATGTTGACCCAGAGGTCGAGTCGGTAATGGTGGCACTTTACGAAGCGTCTCTTGCGGCCTTCCGATTATCCAGCCGATTTTTATGTGCATTATTTCGAGATCCTCACTAAATTTCAGGAATATTGTTCCTAGTTGCTAGTTTTGTTTTAGGCCGTAAGTATAAGATTCGGAACCAGAGAATACTTATTTTGACTCCCCGTCCCATCTTGAGCGTTCTCCCTAAGCCCGCACTTTAATCTCGCACCCATGTGCCAACTCTTTCCCTCAAATTCAGGAGACCAAACTCTTTCTGCCCTTACCTCCTCTCAAGAAGATCATATACTGGATTGAGTTCGGAGGAGACTTGACGTGGATAATGGGACGGATGAGCTTTTTGGCATCCACTCTCTTCAATTAACGTGAAAATGTGGGCGAGGCCTCTGTTCTTTTATGAGAGACATCTAGTGTGGGCTAAGTGAAAGCGTGGAATGGACCGAAATCCAGTTTCTGTCGTTGTCCCATGCTCTTTTTCAGACCAGTTTCTTCGTAGGTCATGACAGAAAGTCTCCCTGTTCACCCACGCCAGTTCAACATTGTGTAAAAGATAACTTCCCCTTCCCTCCTAGAAAGAAAGGCAGTGAAGAGGACCATAACTATCTTTTAAGTGTAGTGTGCCTGTAAACACGAACACCTTAATGAATATCGGTCGTAGAATACTTGTAATGACTTTTCTAACATCAAACTATTGATAAAATTGAGGAAGAATAATTGGAGCTTGAAAAAAAGATCCATAAAAACAATTAAAAAGTCGCCATTGACAGCTCAAAGCCAGTGTATCTTTGGGGTTTTGAATGTTGGGAGTGGAGTTAGGTCTTCAACGTACCACCTCAAAGTGAGGACTCCGTAAATTTGATGGATAAACGTGCTCCTTAATCGAGAGAGGACGCCATATGGCCCCCCATCTTCATCAGAAATCCCACATTCGGCGATTGTTGTATGGAGAGAACGTGGGAAAACTACGCATACTACGCATTGACTATGAGAATGAATTTTGAATTAGAACTTTCTGTATGACTCAGGACCGTTGAGGGTGTGTGAAACTTAAGGATGCAATGCATTCAGAATACTTACTTTCAGATATTTGTCAAACTCCAATTTGACACACCCAGGAGATTCTTTTTGGCCTTCCGTTCCCGATTGATAGTAAGTCCTGCAGAGCCAAACAATTGAAATGACTTAAAGGTAGCTCTATGAAGCGATGCGATGAAGCCAGATGTTGATGATAGAGATTTTTGCAGAACAGCGGATGAAGGATGGAATCTTTGCGATATAATATTACCTCTTGTGCCTGCCTATCGAAACCCAGTTGGCACAATAATGTTGTGTCACCATTGACAGTGGGTTTAAATATTGAGACATGGTTGAATTTGATGTATTAATGAAAAATCGACAGCAATGAAATGTGCTAATATTCGGAATTTAGCGTATTTACAGTACATACAGACTACTCAAGGTTTAGTAAAATCGTTCGGAGGCTATTAAGTGTAGATTCTATTTTACATTTATCTTCGCCATAGTCTTAAGGACGTTTTAACATGGAGTTGTTCACGTTTTTTCAAAATTAATATCAACACTTGCGCATATGTTGGATCATCAGCACATTCTCAACAGAAAATCGGTTCTAAAAACTTGAAAACCAACGCGAGATGGTGCTTACCCGCTGATTTAGCAATTCTCTGATGCCACAGGAATGAGTCTCCAATATATTCCACAGGCGCCTAATCTTTTCACACATGCAACTTAGGGGAAGACTTTGGAATTCTTCGATATATCTGTTCCCGGCCGGTAACCCGGCCAAGGAGATTCCAGGAACTTCTGGTGCAGCCGTTAGAAGAAACATGATTCAATTTAAAACTTCGCTCCATGGCGATAGTATTGGAGATGACCCTTTCATCTCCCCTGGCGACGAAAGAGCATTATATCTGCTCGTGAGGCTGTGTCTGACTCCTTCCATAGAACATATTATGCCAGACACGCAACTCCATTGCTAGACAGAACCAATAATGATGCAAGAAATTCACCTTGGATTCTGACCCAGTAAAGGAAGTTACAGCCTTACGTGGAATCAACGAAGGGATGGTAGTATTCCCTAGAGTACTTTCAAGCCTAGAGGTGAAACGGATAATTCCAATGATACGAGATCAAGATGACATATGGCATCTTCTATGGTAAGGCACTGCCAGGAAGCTAGCAACTGCTGACACAATGCAATTCATGAGCATCTTTTCAAAGTATATCATTTCAAAATTGCTGTTATATTAAAACAACCTTTTACACAAGGTTTTCACAGCATTCCTACATTAAAAAAGCAATCCTTGCTAAACGTTGACAGCGTTGTTGTGCCAACTGGGAGGTGAGCAAAGAACGACCTTTTGTGTCCCGCATGGAGATGAAGACTAGAGACCATGGAGGAAGGCAACTTTTCTAATTATGAACGTGGCTTCCCTTGGTTTCATGGAATCGTCAAGAGTCCCCTTTTCACTTCAATTTAAAGGTATTTCTCAAGTACAGTAATTTCAGACACTTGTATATGAAGATGCACGCCCAATCTTTGAGTTATTTCATGTACCATCCTTCACAACATAGCAGATTAATGTGCAGATATCATAGCAGGAGGCCTCGTGTAACAAACTTGAGCTGCAGTGACGCAATGCAAGGGAAGGAGGAGGGTGGTCTCAGGGCTCGAATCCCTCAACCTCCCCCCGAGCTCGTCATTCTATTGCCTGAATGTTGACCTTCTTAAAACCCCGAGCACGCTGCTGATGAGGTTGAACTATTGAAATGTCACTGTTGGATTTCCTTTCCTCTACAGTCAAGAGAATTTGAGGATATCGCCTACGAGAGAGCCTAACGGACATTAGATACCCTCCTCTTCTGAATGAAGCGGACTTGGAATGAATGTTGATAATCAAGTAGCATCTGATACGCTGAATAGGTATCTGAGGGCTTCATAGATAGCAAATTGTTCACGGGCTACGATAGATACATTCCCTTAAATTTTTACATTTCTGACCGAATTCACGAGACGGCAAAGAAAAGCGGTAGCTCCAATTAGTTGCTTTATTTGGCACCGTCAATGTAAACATGTATACTGTTTTTGCATAAGGCACACAGGCGATCCAAAGAGATGCAAAGATGGACATAATGGGTGGATTGGGGTGGGGATTCTTCGGAGAAAAAAATATGGTCCGGCTTGGACAGCTTAGTGAAAAGAGACGGAAAACGAATGGCACGAAATGAGAGAAATCAAGGAAAATTCACTGAACTGTTAATATCCACGTGAGAATGAGAGTCGGTTCCCATCAAGCCCATCAATAATGCCTTGAGACATATTCTCTATTATATCAGGCTTAACGAGGAGATGGAATGAGAATGGGCAAATATTCATGTTGTATTTCAGACTGAATTGTACCGGTCACGCCAAGGCTCACATACATAATGCCTCTATGGAAGCGGAAAGGAAAACCCGAGGCGATTCTGAGGCCACCATTCGAGGTTGCGAGGCGAGTGCGTGAGATTGCCTCAAGTAAGGGCGCGGTTCAATCCATCTTCAATCAAATAAGTGTGCGCATGGTCTTTACCCAAATGTATTCCAGTGATGCATTGCGGAGTCGTTTCTTGCAAGATGCTTGAAGCTACTGCAGATGGGATCTCTAAGGATACTTGAATCTAAGTTTACAGCCAAGAAACTTGATCTCACTAAATTTAAACAGTTTAATTACAAAATTTTACGGCAATAATGCGAGTGATACAGCTTTATAGATCCTTAGAAAATTATCTGCCCCAGGTTCTGAGGAAAAAAACTAAACCTCGATGTGTTAGCGGGTCAGAAAAGTTGCCTATGCAGTTAATCATGTCACGTGGATGCTAGGAGGGGAGACTTAAATAAATTGAATGTGAAGTGAGCGGTTGAGGGTTCAGAACGATCCATGATCCACTTGATAGATATTAACTGAAAGGGTGGCTAGTGAAAACGCGACCTAAGGGAACTAACTAACAATTCAATTTAACATGATATGAAGGGTAGACCCAAAACTAGAAATGACGAGTAAATGGCTCGATGCAAAATATCCTCGGAAGAAAGGTGAAGAAAAAAGGTGTGACAACAGAGTCCAAGGGTAGAACTCAATGTCCAAGTCCAATCAAAGGCGAAGGACTAAAGCTTGCAAGGCAAACCAAAGAAATGCAGGAAGAACTGGACGATGACAAAATGAGAACAAAATGAGAACAAGGGCGTAACCTGGACTTCCGGGCTACCGTCACTCTCCCTGGACTTGACCGGTTAAGATCCTATCTCAAGCCTTCGATATTCGGAAATAGGTTACCCACCTAAAAGATTCTGACCTAATCAGTTATTACTCTATCGCTAGCACAGAGACACAAATAGGAGCACCAACTACACAACAGCGATGGACACAAAACTATTTGGAACGGGTCGATCGCCGAAAGAATGAGAGGAGTGAAGGGTACCAGGGCTATGTAAAGGGAAAGAACACGCAAGGTCAGACAATGCCAATGGCAATAAAAGCTGGTATAGGAGGTGGAGGAGGCGAACCTTGGAAAGGGATGAACCCTTGATAAAGGAAAGCATTTGACACTCGTTCCGACGCGTCGCATTAATGCGATTACTGCATAGAAATACGCAGTAATCGCATTAATGCGACGTGCGCGAACGTGCCTAACTCGCGAAAATCGCATTCTTGCTCTCTGCAGTTTTTCTAAACAGCGATCGAATTAATGAGCG